ATAGTGAAATAAAACCAAATATCAGTGTAAAATGATTAAATCCAACATTTTCATTACAACCTGACTGCTATCATCATCAGCTTTATTTAAAGAGACTCTTGGTTCATTTCCTAAAAGACACACAATTATATCATAGTAGAGGCTGGCAGATATATGGGGTTTTATCATCGGTTTTATACATTAATGGTAAATGTGGCCATGGAAGCTTGCCATAATAAATTAGGAAAAACTCATAGCATGGCATTTCCATCTATCATTCTGAGCAACACATGTTTAATCCTTTCTCACGCATTAACTGTAAAGTTAATTGTAAGTCGCTTTGGATAAAAGCGTCAGCTAAATGCAATGTAATGTAATGTTAATTAGCTACAATATAATTAAACCAATCTCTGAAAGTCAAATTATACCTAATCTTACATTTATTATAAATTGCCTCAGGATCAGCCAAAGACTGCAAAAAGGCTTTTATACAAACGTTTTCTTACCTAATCACTGGTTTATTGAGCTGTAGAAAAGTCCAAAGAAAGATTGATCCATCCAGCACCCAAGCTTAGAATGAGTGATGAAAAAACCCCGCTGCATCGCAAAGGGGTTGGCTCTCTAAGTTTCTATTTCGCTGGAAATACTACACGCACACACACAAACACACGCGCACACACATACATGCCAACCTTTCCAAATCCAAAAGAGGTAGGTTTGCGCGGCAAATGTGCACACCCAAATTATGTTATCAGAAGAAACAAATTATGCACTTGAATCAGAACAGAAGACCATTGAAAGGTTAGTGTAGTTAATTTAAAACTGCTTTAAAAGACAGGCCAAATAAAGATAGTCAAAAATATAAAGTATGAGCACAAGTTTTCCATTTGGTACAAGATAGGGACACATTTATACGATCTAATTGTGTTTATAAATTATTATAAATTATCAAACAATTGAAATGTAATAGATTAAATCTCCTCCAAATTACTCTGTTACTTATTGGTTAATAAATAACTTGGCTTTCTTAGTAGTATGTTTTTTATTGTCACTCTCGATCATAGAATAAGTTAAGGGAGAGGGCGTGATTTCAAACATAAAGGGAAACCTTTGCCCATAGTTTGAATGCAAGATTTAAAACAGGAAATACTTGTTTTTATTGTTCATTAGGCCAGTGGTTCCCAAACTTTTTGTGCCCAAGGCACACCAAAGGACAAGTAAAAATCTCAAGGCACACCTATTGTGCAAAATAGCCCTTATAACACGTGTTATCACTCATATCATGTAAAATATCTGTAAATGTGCATAATTATTTACTAATGCCAAATAAAATGTGACAAAGACAACTATATTACTCATGAAATATTTATTAACGAAATATTTCAGAAATGAATTTGAAACTTTACCAAATTAGGCTTCATCAAAGCAGCAACACACTCATTTAAACCAGACAGGTCACAAAATAAAAAATGAGGCAAAGGAAACTCAGCAGAAATTCAGCACAGAGAACTGTCAATGCAAGGAAGCTGCATTGTCCATGGTCCTGAACTACAAATTATAAATGTAACATTTCAGCAATCAGCATTGAAACATGTGCTATTGGAAATATTGTTGCCGACTTACAAATTAGTGAGATACATGTGCCTGTCGGGGCGCGCAGAATGTTTTAATCCTTGGTGGCACTGAGGAGAGGGCCACTCGCAAGTCCTGTTCAACAGAGAGCCGTGGCCTCCTGTTGTTCTTCATGTAAACCAGAGTAGAGAACGCCAACTCCAGAGATGGGGTCGTATACCGTAATATATATATTACATATTACTTTTTAAAAAAAAGTAATATATTACACTACTTCGTTACTATCTACATAAAGTAACTCGTTACTTTACTCGCCGAGCACGTACGAACTGCGCATGCGTGAGTGGCAATAACTTTCCTTACCAGCAGGCGGCGGTAGTGTGTATTTGTCATTCAAAACAGGCAACAACCGGAAGACAGAGAAGAAGAACAGACTCCGTGATATAAACAAAAAAGCATGTGTTCTTTGCAGGTGTGTGTTGAGGTTTGACGTGGTGTTTACAGCAGTGGATAACAGCTTCTGGCCTGGACACAGTTTGCACCTCACCGTCACATTCCTGTCTATTCTTCGGACGAACTCAAAATAATGGGCATACCTCCACCCCTCGAAAGTTATCGCCGACTCAGCATGAAATGCAGCACTGCACGTTGAGATGTGGACGCGCAAATCGCGCAGATTACGTACATATAAACCTAGAAAGTACTGATATAGTACATTTAAAAATAATTATTTTTGTGTAGTTGTATATTGCAATAATAACGTATGGTTGTCACAAAATCCCACGGCACACCCGGACTTGCCTCACGGCACACCAGTGTGCCGCGGCACACCGTTTGGGAACCACTGCATTAGGCAACTGCAACTTTGCATGAAATGGAAATTGCACTTTGACATTTCAAACCTTGATTTGTTTGCCTGCATTCAGTCGTTCTCAAGGTTATGAATAATGTTTAGCATTTCTTCAATTTATTAAGTCCTATCCATCGTTGGTGCGCCAATAGTGCAGATATTTGGCCCTATTTAACAATTTTTAGACAAATAGCCATACCCAGCGCCATATAGACTGAGAGTTACGTCATCTCCGTTCACTCTAATGGACCACTTTTTTACAGCAATGGCGGATCGTGGAGCCTCTCAATCGTTCCCCGGAAGTTAGCGCCAAGGCTAGCAGAGCTGTAGAGTTGCAGCATAATTAGGGTTGCCAACCGTCCCGTATTAGCCGGGACCAGAGCCATATAATAGAATAATAATAATAATCTATTATATGGCTCTGGCCGGGACGCCCCGTATTTGAGCCAAAAGGGGCGTGTCCCGTACGGGACTTTGTTTATCCCGGACTCCCGTGTAAAGGGAAAAATAAAAAATATGTTTCTGTTTGCGCGCAATGCAGTGTGTCTGGCTGTGCGCTTGTGTGTTTGTGTGCTGTATGCAGTACTCAAGTTGTAAAAAAAAATCAGGGGGGATGGTGGATTTTATCATATGGGGACATCATTTGTGCTGATAACCCGCCGAGGGTGGGAGACCAACCAGCATAAAGATAATTATTATACTCCTAAAACAACATGCATGTTATGGATGTTCAGATACTCCTGTCATTGCTCTTGACCAAGGCACCACATAATTGGAGTCGTCCCTGGGCTGCCATGGCACCACTAACATTTAGGGTCAAATGCAGAGGACAATTAGTGCAAAATCTTTTTTTCACTTTAATTTAAAGGGGGGGGGGGGATACAAAAATGTGGTTATAATGGAAGTCTATTGGTACAAATATTGTAGGTTAACAGTCCCTCGTTTATTATTCAGATGGATCAACTGATTATACTAATAATAAAGTCAAAATTGTTTTTAGAATATTTAACTAAATGCAGCCATTGACAACATTGGTCCTATTTTGTATTTTCTGTATAATCTGTTAATATATTTTCATATTTTGTAAACAATTTCTATTTGCACTTAATGTCCTGTTAAAAAAAGTAACATTGGGAATGTTAACATAAAATATTTGTATTTGAACTGCAATAAAATGATGACGGATCGATTTTTTTCCTCAAATTGTTTTCCTCAAAATGTTCATGAAGTGTTTCATTTACATAATGATTTAATTAATTACGATAAAAATGTACAGGGTACAGGGTACAGGGTACAAGAAGGGGGTAGCAATAAAGATTACACCATTAAACTGTTACACAACATAACAGAAATAATACCGATAGCAGCGTCCCTAGCAACCACCTTGGTAACAATGAAAACGTTGTATCGACACAATTTTCTGAATTAATCTTCGTAATAACTAGCAAACTAAAGATCATGTTCATCCACTGCACACATAATCTGAAATAACAACTCATATTTCTCGCATCAAATGACAACCAAAACGGATTTTAATGGCCAAACTAACTTTAAAATAGGCATTTTACACCGAGAATAAAACGAAGTTCGGCCATGTTTTTTTTTTCTGCAGGGAGAAATGTGAAGATCACGTGACATAGACGCCAGCCATTGGAATGAATGGTGAAAAAAAACGTAGGGATCTTACAATTTCAGAGGCGTTTTTGTAGAAATACTACGTCCTACGTTGTGGACCAACATAGTTATTACACGATCTCCTACCTTGAGCTAAATGAAATCAAAGAGACACTAAATGACTATAAGAGATATAAAGATACCATGAAGAGACACAAAAACGACGGCATGCCTGTGCCCATCGGCCCATTGTCTCACAATCAGCCCGTGATTTCAATTATTGCCTGATTTGGACAGTGCCGTGTGCAGGGACACTCTTTGTGATGTCTCCCTCAGCTTTGATGCAGCTGTCGGAGCAGGAAAAGTGAGACCTTTGCTATTTTTAATAACACACCTGAGATTCCCATTCATTTTACATGCAACCCATAAGGCAGTGACATCACTTCTGACTGGCCAGCTATTCCTGCTGTCCGCAGAAGGTGGCAGCATATTCTTAAACTATAAACAGCCATCAGACATCCTACTGCTGCATGGCTTTAGGCACACTATTGAGAATGAGATACTTGAATATTACCATACTTTGAAATGCATGTGCAGAAAGACCCTCATGCTTGTCCTTACCCTTTGTAACTACACTACTCTATCTCTGGGAAATATTATTATTTTACTTATGTATTTGATAGCTTTAGATGGCTTGAAGGATCAGATTTAAATCAAATATATAATAATTTAATAAAGTACAATATATATTATAGGTTAAATTCAAAAGCTATTCAGCAGCATATAAAGGTAAACATTATCAATTATCATAATGGAATCCTAGTTTTACTTTGGTAGAGAGAGAGAGAGAGAGAGAGAGAGAGAGAGAGAGAGAGTAGAGATAGAGAGAGAGAGAGAAGAGAGAGAGAGAGAGAGAGAGAGGAGGAAGAGAGAGAGAGAGAGAGAGAGGTGGATCGTCTTAACTCAGTAGTCAGTGAGACAGCAGTGTCAGAGGATCATGCGGGGGATAAACTCTCCTTCCCATCAATTCCACTTCCATCCTCCTCCTCCTCCTCATTCTGTGAATCCAACCAACCGAGCTGAGGAATAATGCCTGCAAACAACACCACAGCCCCAACACATGTGCCGGACTACACCTGCGTGCGTTTTCTACGTGTCCACCGTGTCTTTCTCGGTGCTGCTCTTCTTCAAACCTCATCATCAACTGGACCATACTTCGCGTCGAGCGTCTGCGGAGTCATGCGCGCTTCGTGCTGGTGTTCCACCTGCTGGTGTCCGCGCTGCTCTACCTGGGGATGAGCAGCGTCTTCCACTACCAGATCCACCTGCAACGCGCGGCCGGTGCGCTCCGCCTGCTTGGCCATGATCACTTGTTGATCAGCAGCGCCTTGCAACATCCTCCTGACGCTCACGGTGATGGCTTTGGACCGCTACTTCGCGGTGTGCCATCCCATGCGCTACAGCTCCACCTGCACCGCGGGGCGCTGGCCCTGGACGCTGGGTGCGTTCACCTGGATTGTGGCTTTGGTCATTCCCCTCAGTCTGCTCCTCCAGCCGGACTCCCAGACCGAGTATAATGGGGTGTGTGACAGGGAACAGCTTAAAAAAGGCGAGCTGCAGAAGGTGCTGTTCATAGGTGTGTGCACGGTAATAATAATGTACAGCTACGTGAGTATTCTAGTAGAGGGAAGGAGATTGGGGGTGTTGAATCGGCGCAATGAGGCCGGGTGCAGGACGATCGCCCTGCATGGAAGCCAGTTGGCTGTTTACATCCTTCCTAACTTTGTGAACTTCGTGTTGACGGTGTTGTTCAAACAGAAGCTCATTCATCAGGAGACTAAAGAGCTGGCAGCCGTGGTTATCTTCGCTTTTTTCAGCTTGGCGCAGTGTGTGGCACCGATTGTTTATGGATTGCGTAAAGAGGAACTAATGGAGCAGGTGGGTCACATGTTCCCCTGCTGTTCCTACTTGAAGAGGGTCCTCGGCTGGACAGTGCGAGCCAACTGGCCACACACCCAACACACACCACGGTATGTCCAACATAGATGCATTCAGTGGTGGTTCTAGACCAATTTGACTGGGGGGGCCACTGGGGGGCCAGTTATTTTCTCAGGGGGGCACAATAAATGCAGGACGAAAAAGAGAACTAGACAGTATGAAGTAATTGCGCATAAGAAAACAATGCAATACAGTTATTGGTATTTGTTTCAGTACACTTATTTATTTCAGATAGATCTTATAGTTATTACTGTTAGCTTCAGCTTAAGTTATAGTGCAATGTTTGTACTAACACCATATGTATATAAAAATAAAGGCAATGAACAGTTACATCTCTACTTTACATAAGAGTGTCTGCACAATCTCACATTACAGCAACAAAATCCTGCGGTTTTTGGCAAACCGAGTACCAGAAAATATACATTTAAAAATAAAAAATAAAAACTTTTCATTGTTAGGGGGGCCACAGGGGGGTCAGAGGTCAGTGTTAGGGGGGCACTGACCTAGAACCGCCCCTGGATGCATTAGACTTGTATTGTGTCTTTTAAACCTAAAATCCATAAGTGGGCAGAATTTACAACCCTTAAAAAGAGTGTATACATTTTAAAGACTTATCAAAAAGTAAGTCCTTGCTGAGTCAATATATTCTCACGAGGTATCCCTTCTTAATAACTCATCATTATGCAATTACACAAGGCAATAAATAAAAACAAATCAGCTCCATAGAGTTTTTACAATCTGGTGATCCTAAATGTGTTATAACTTTTACTGATGATGAGTACAACTCAAGAAAATTACTCAAGTCAATACAACTTGTCGGAAAGTGGTGCTGCTTTAGTTGTTAATCAACTATGGAAAAAGATAGTGGAGGAAACCTATATTTATTTAAATGTCCACTCATGCAGTAATCACTGTCACACGAAGTCACATGAAATGACTAAACTGTGGGAAAACAGTTCTCAGATCATGCTACCAAAATAAACGTATTTTATTGCTGAAAATAATCGTTTTAACCATGGTGTACTATATTCCATTACTGCTTGATAAACGCTTATTCACACATTCTAAAGAACATCTAGAAAAGTCACTAGAGTGTGAAGTGCTGAAACGAAGCAAGACAAAAGTCAATCTAAAAGAGAAGGGGGATTTATAGCACGAAAAGGTGTCTTGTTTCCTAAAGTGGTGTGATACTTTTTGATTTGCATACAGTTCAATATCATATATGATACTTGCTGGTATGACTTGTTGAAACGGTTATTTGTTGCATAATTAGTGGAAGAAACCACAGTGAAATACTTCCCTTTTTAATGTGTTAGACATGAGTGTTCACCCACAAAATATGTTCTTGAGCACATTGCTTAGTGTTATTTCAGCTTACCCTCATTTTCTCCACAGGGAGCGAACACTGACAGTACAGACGATCATCTCCCTACCGAACCCTACAGACCCAGAGGAAGAGGAAACACAGGCAATATCAGTCAGGAGTTCCTCACTGGACTTAGAGTCATATAGCTGCGATACGGACAATGCCTGATGGGAAAAAAGCAGGTACATTTCAGGATTATCTAACAACAGGAACATTACCAAAAGTGGCTCAACTCAGGCCTGGAAGGACCTTAAGAAACCGCCTTGGACATCATAGGATCTTTTGTCCTCAATAGAGAATGTTGAGACCTGATCAGCACGTTGCACTACACTGTTTTTGACCTTTTTCACCACAGAGCGAACATTGGAGCTGCTTGAAGAAGCAGAAGAAGACAATGTGGTTTCAGAAAAAGTGGGAAGTTCTCTTGTTGTAAAATGTTCTGGCTTGTCCAGACATTTAAGCCTTAAGTCTTCAGGTGACCAGCACATGCATGGCTGACCTCAAGGCCACAAAAAGCCTTCAACAATTTGGGATTCAAATGATTGGGAGAGACGATAAAGGATATTTCAATATTATCCTCTTGTGAATATTGTCTTCATGTGTTCCTAAGCCTGTGGGTATTAAACAATGTGAATTTAATGGCATCTTGAATACTTACAGCAATCAGCACAAATCAAGATAGAAAAATTCGGATTAGAAGAGAAGAACAATACACCTCTTCTCTGTGGGGAAGGACACCAAAGCATCATAGAATTCAAACAAAACAAAAGTATTAGTATTTAATAAAAGCTTGTTTCACAAGAATGTGAAAGGACAGTGAACAGAAAGTAGTTTAAAGAAATGCACATTTTTGGCCTATTATTTGGTGGTAGGCCATGGTCATCTAATTATATATCTTCAGAGCAAAACCAATCATGACACATTTTCTCCCCAATATGATTAGCTACTCACAAAAGACTGCATCAACATTGGTATCAAAATCTGTGACCCTGGCTCAGTATAGAATCAAAACCAAGCTAATCACAAGGATAAGACGTTAGCTTGTTTTAACAAAGCAGGACACAGCTAGCAAAGACTAACATAATGTCTTACTATAGCATTTTCAGTTTAAAATGTATGTTTTATATCTTAATTTAACTTGTTTCTAGTGGTTCTATTAACGAAACAAAATATATATTGGTGAGCTTTAAAATGGCTGGTTGTTGGTGGATCTCATTAGCTATAGATTAGCCTTCTAGCGTAGCTGGTTAGCTTTCCTTTAAATGGGCCCAGCTACAGTAGGTGTGATACCGTTATCCATCTTCTTATCTAGCTATCAGCATTCCAGTTAATAAACATATTTCCATCATTATATACAGTCTACATAAAGCAAATCTGACTTTGCTTTTTAAGGGTCATTCCAGAATTGGAGGACAATTTAGACACCAACATTTTTGAAAAAATGAACCTTTATTTTATAATTTTTTTTAATGTATTTAGGAAAAACAGATAATAAACCATCAAAACAAGTGATTTGCCCAGCTAGGCATCAAATGTATATTTTCCAATGAAGAATTACCCCTGTTACTCTAATTATAGTAACAGGGTTGAAAATCAATGCTAATTTGAGCTTTAACCTCAGGAATTATTGCTAGATGTAATGCTACTTTCAAGGCAAGGACAAACTTGGATATCTAATGCAAGAAAGATAACTTTGAAATTAATATGCTTTATTCTGATAATATCAGTAACAGGGTTGAGTGGGTCAGAGTGCCACACTCTTTTAAGACTGAAAAGATTGTAAAAATATGAAAAATAAAAGAGAGGACTTAGTTTTGGTCTACCCATGGGACTAGCACATGGCTTGCTGATGTCCTTTCCACTGTGTCATCAGTTTTTTCACTTCCTGTGCCAATCTAAAAAGGTTTGGGTAACAGGGTTGAACGCATGTTGAGTGACACACCTTCTGTGCAAAATTACTGTTATCTAAAATATGTTTATGATTTAACAAATTGATTTTACCATTACAAAAGACATATATCAATAGAATAATAAAAAAAAAAAGTGAATAAAATCCCTATTTAAATGTTATATTTGACATGCAAGTTGAAGCGGGGACAAGAGAAAAATGCCATTTTAGGGGATGTTCGAGAGCTATTTGATCATTTAAATAATATTTTGAAACCACTTTTTCTACAACTTTATATACATTTAGTCTCAAGACAAGTATGTTTAACACAACAAGTGCATGTTTTAGCATTTTGGGCATGGATTATTAGATTTTTTATATGAGGAACATGAAATGTCCTCCAATTCTGGAATGACCCTAAATCTTCCTCTGGACGCTTTACCACTCGAAATGTACTATTACTGAGAAAGGAATTTGCAGTATCAGTGGGGAGCTTTTACAAGCAAAGTAGGACATGATTTGACTCTTTGCACGTTGGCTGCTGAGCTCCTAGTTTTAAGTCAGACAAAGCCACACTTGCTGGGGAGTTTCTCAATGTTTGAACCACAGCCTTCCTTAACTCACACCAACAGCTGCAACACTTTTCAAGTCAGTGTAAATATGAGCAGGAGGGGATTCCGGTCTTCTTTTCAAAGCGCAAATAAGCACCAGAATCTAGCTGGTGGCGAAGCACTTACTGGCATTCTTGTAAAGTGTGAATACTCTGGAATAGCTCGAGTTGCGGAAGTGAAAGCAAAGTTGAAGATTATTTGAACACAAGTGACTGGAAGGCTTTTTGGGGGGGGGGGGGGGTAAAAATGCTATGGTGGAATTGATTTCACATTTTTATATATATATATATATATATATTTTTTTTAAGCTTGTAGCCTACAAGAAAAACAAAACGATATGAGAAGTTTGGCCTGTTGAAAGCCACATTCAACGTATTTAAACACTTGGGAATTTATATATGCAACACATTAAAAACAATTGACAATGTTTGCTCTCAGGGATGCAAGTAAAGAAAGACAAGCAGTCTGGCAGATGAATTTAATTTAATTTATTAATCTCATTAGGAAGGTGTGTTATTTTACCAAGAAAGCTCAAAGAAAGATTCTGCACAAACACTGACTCCATCGAAGGAAATTGGACATTCATTTTAGATAACACAAAGAAGCATGTGATTATGTTATTATTATATCAACAAAATGAACATGTTTGATAGTTTTCTTTCTTTCTTAACAGCAGCATTGATGATCACAGTACGAGTGATAGGAGGGAAGAATGTGCAGATCAAATGTAAGTTTCATGAATGCTTGGACAGAAGATTAAAATTGAGTGCATTTATTGTACAATTAATGGTTTATTTAAAGCACCAGGTATGCAGAGTAACAGTTCAACAATTAATGCTGTCTGCTACCTTTAGCTGTAAGTTCATGTGACCGTATTGGTAAAGAGTGAAGATTACCTTTTTGTTTTAACATTTGAAGCTCTCTTTATGTGAAGTCACAACAGGAACTTGCAACAGCAGTTTCTAAGGCAAAGGGTTTGCTCCAGACATTAATGTTTCTGTGATGAGCAGTTAGCTTAACATGCAAAGGCATTCAAGTATTAAGCACCACACCATTATATACATTTGAGCACATTCTAGATAAGTGTATAAATCAAAGTGGAGAAAAACTGTCATTACGTTAAAGTTGCTAAAAACAGATAAGTTCAAATCTCTCTCTGTTAACTGGCCTCTGCTCCTCAAAGTTACATTGACATATAGTTTTCCATCAAACAAAAAAAACAAAACAACTTAATGTTTTAACAGAATAAATGACATTATTCAAGCTCCATGCACACATCGGAGAAATCTACTGCTTTAAATCCAGGTGGTATACGGGCTTAAAGATTTCTCTCCTATCGACCCATTTTAAATAGCTAATTCATAATTTCATATAAATTAACGTGTTCACACAGACACAGAAACGCAATGAAGATATTACAGTACGAGATAATAAAAAAGTAAAACTGTGGTTTCTGTGCAAGTCGTTCAGCCCAAAACTGTAGGTGCAACAAAGCCGATAGAAAGGTACCGATGTGTGATGTGTGAGCAATTATGGCATAACAAAATGGTAAAGGTCATAAAGGACTTGATCTACACGTCCCTTAACCTGGTTAGAGATGTGGAAGAGTCAAACCAAACAAAAACCAGACTGATTCCGATTCAGGGGGCGTGGTGCGTTTAGAAACCCAGAGGGTGAGGAGCGACCACCCCCCCCGTCTCCACCACGGCTGCAGAGATGGCTTTCATGTTCTTGAAGAGCTGTCTGGACTCACTGGAGCGCAGGGACTTGATGTCAGTCATGACCCTGTCATGGGCCTGAGGGATGGAAGGAGCATAACATACATTTAGACGGATAAAAACATCTCCAAATAATTGCGTGTAATTAAGAGCATTGAGAAATCGTTAAAACATTTTAAATAACAACAATCTCATCCTCATAACCAAACATTATCTTTCTGAATATTCTTTCTATGAAAATAGGATATCAAGTATAATTCCATTACATCAATTGCGCTGTAGAATATACGCCATTATGTGACGGGGCGCTTACATTTCCTATAAGCAATATTGAATTAATTTAATTTGTATGATAAATGTAGACATTGTTTTCAGTGTTTCTAGGGTCCTGTGATCTTACCTCCACACACCAGGTCTCACACAGCATCTTCTCGTGCTGAGCTGTGGGGCCGCCCTGACTCAGAGTGCGTGAGGCCCTGCAGAGAGGGAGGGAAAGTGAGTTTGTAGGTGGAATAAAAGTATACCAGAAAGGTGAGTGGGAGTTTGAAGCAGAGAGGAAGTGAAATGGGGACGGAGAGAGAGTCGTTTTTATTTCTTGTTTGCGTACCTGGACAGAACCACCACCATGGCGTAGAGGTCGATGGCACCGTCGGCCACTCTCTTCAGGACAAATTGTTCATCTGTAACAGAAAAAGTTGAGTTAAATATTTCTCAACGCCTGAAATGATTACATGTAGGAGAAAGAGATTTGTTTTCTACATGTGGGTGTTTTTAAGTTGGATGTGTGAGGAGATATTTTCATTTGATAAACGACGAGCAACATAACATCGAGCCATCATCCGAAGCCAGACACAACTTTTTTTTATTATTAATAAATGAACAGATAACGCATTAGAATTGTACGCACAAACACACACACACACTCACCAATGATCTTCTTGCCGTGTTTGATCAGCAGCTCCTCGACGACAGCTCCGAACTGTTCGATGGCTTTAACGGTCTACAAATAAAATGTCACAAATGACTTAAGTCAACGATGCAAAACGTATCCTACCCATATCAAGAAAAGTGTGAAATAAATGCCTCAACTTTAAACAAAGAAAGGTTTAACCCACCAGTTCACCGCTGTGTGCCAGCTCAGGATGCACAGAGCCCTGCAGAGTCAGACCTGTGCTGAAACCCGCCTTTCTACAAACAATAGAACAAGAAGACAATGTTAGATCAGACATGAGCAAGTGCAGATCATCTGTGCTGCATCTGTACCGCTGGGAAGTATTTACTAACGTTATTGTGCAATCAAGTTGAAGGAAAAATGAAAATACAAATTTAGTTTTAGCTCTTACATTTATAGAAAGTGCAGTAAATGGTGATTATGTGTGTGTCTGTGTGTGTGTAGGCTCTAACTTAAGGTGTCTACTTTCACTTCACAGTCAAGGAGGAAATGGATACAAAAACACATTTAATTCCTTGAAATGTGACATCATTACTTGTAGACAGTAAATTACACTATTAGCTAATGAGCTAACAATTGAGCCGTTTCTGCTCCTGCAGAGTGATGCAATGGAGGATGGAATTGACACTTGAAGAAATTGCATCATGTATTATAATGGAGTCCCCATCTCCCCCCATCAGCTACTGCAGTGTGGCACTTCATATCCCCCAGACAGAAGGAGACAGACAGTGTGAAGTCAGTCTGTGTGTGTGTGTGTGTGTGTGTGTGTGTGTGTGTGTGTGTGTGTGTGTGTGTGTGTGTGTGTGTGTGTGTGTGGTTGTGATGCAACCTTTTGGTTCTCTTGGTGATTTCTGCAGCGAGCAGCGCAGCGTTGCCGATGGGGTTCTTCATGGCCTTCTGTAAGCTCTTCAACTGGTTCCCAGCATTCTGGAGGGACACACATTATGTATTGATGATTATGATTGTCACAATCTCAGAAACAAGTGATGGGATCCTGCATGCCAAAGCAACAGTAGTTTTTCACGCGAAATGTGTGCATGTACTTCCTTGTCTGTGACCCTGTTACTGGCTTAAGTGCATGACTGTGCATCAACCAGAATCTGACTCAAGGCTTTGGTGAAACCGGACAGTTGGTGGTTTTTAATGTTGAAACTAATCAAGGCCTACGCATCAGATGAACTGAGGTTTATTCTCTTATTCGATATTTCTGTTGAAATAACAACAATGACTTGCATCAGACTCAGGAACATTCACATGTGTACGACACGCCACAATCTCCTCCAATACGACAGAAGCTACGGCCGAGGAACCCAGACTGCTTTGCTTTGAAGAAAATGAAGAAATCGACAAGGAAGTGTTTTTCCAACCAACACAGATCCTTGGTGTTGCGTGGTACAAGGAAGTTGCTTCACGATCAACTCACTTCCTCTTGACATAACGTCTGTACTTTTTCACACGGACAGACAATGTCACATCACCACAGCCGAGTGTGATGTTACCTGGAAGCCATTGAGGGCCACGAAGAGTCTCAGGATGTCGTTGGTGCCCTCGAAGATCCGGAAGATTCTCAGATCCCTCATCACCCTCTCCACTCCAGCGTCCTGCAGAGACAGCAAGAGGATGACCTTATAATCTAATAATATATATAAATAAGCTGAAACAATCCCATATAAAACACAATTTACTATTAAAAATGCACTAAATGTACATTTTCTCTTGAGGTCAGTCTTGATTTGAGTCAAGTCACTGCTTTGTACTTCTTAATAAAGTTGCATTTTGTCTGTTTTTATCCCCTCTCCTAAAAAAAGAAGTGATTTCAGATTCACGGCACTAGGCATGTTCTTTGTTTTGTTTATTTATACTGTTTAAAAACTGAGAGTGTAATTTGAACATAACACATTTGCATAATGAGGCAATGAGCTGTGTTTTACTCTCATATGTTACATGTACGAGACATTTGGATGTCAGCTTACGGTTCAAACTAGGTAGTGAAAAAACCAGCTGCAACAGGAACAGGTCCTTCTATATCCATGTGTGTGTTTTTGAATTTCGCAAGGTACTGTTGCAGACGATGCGTTTTTTGCACAGAAGAGCAGAAATGGTAATGAACAGGGCACACTTCTGACTTGACTTCCTGGGTAAAATGAAACCCAGAGTCAGAAATATCCTCCATTAGCAGAACTGATCAAAGTCTGGTGTGTGTTTCCCCTTTGACTTTTTAGACAGCTCATACCACACATCTAACTACGAGTTAACTGTAAAATAATTAGATGTGTGGTATGATGTGTGGTATGGTACACAATGAGTCCAAATTCAGTTGAGATTTTTAGGGATGTTTTTTTTTTTTAGATCTGGAAGAACTTCAAAGACTGTCAATGGTACAGTGTACAGTTGGTACCTGTACTTGTGGTTAAATAAAGGTTTTGAATTGAATGGATTTTTTTCAGCACGCTGGTGAGTTCTCAAGTACAATGTGCACCAAGATAGCCTACAGTTAAACTGTGCATTACTATCCTATGAATGATACAACACTGTTTTTATTGTGTTGTACTTGTTATATATAACAATATAATACACTTTAACTTCTTTTTTTTTTTTTTTTTTTAAAATGCATCTTTTAATGGACATTTTTACTTGAACTATTTTTATTTTATTGGACTTTTTACTCAAACTTCTATGTTTTTATACATGTTTCTATTCCATTTAATTTTTTTCGGACATTTTTACTTTAACTACCTATTATATAAATACCTTTATTCTATTTTATCATTTATTGCACATTCCTAAAATGGAGCAACTATCCCAAAACCCAACTTCCATCTGGATAAATAAAGTATTTTGATTGTGATTGATTCGTTAAAGTGTTGTTGTTTATTATTATTTGTAATATTCTATACAACTTCACGTCCCCCCCATATCTTCATCTACCTGGCACTATTCTTATGAACTTCAAAAACTGTGACTTCTGCCTTATCTACACAAATAAACACATCATTGTTTTTAAAGATTAAAAAGCTCGTCTGATTTGAAATGCAACGTTTGAAAAAACAATGCTAAGCTAGGGTTGAAGCAAGCGGTTAAGTAAATATGATGAGGTTAAGATGACAACATATAGAGTGATGGCAGTATGCTAATGTAGTGTAAATAGATCAAGGCTGTGGAGCAGGAAATAAAGTTCCAGGTCAACAATTAGTATCGGGAAGTATAGCGTTGGAAAAACGAATGGGAAATGTTGCACACTGCCAAGAAGGCAAGGTGGTTTCCCTCGAAAACAAACATGTGCTTTGTGTGTGTTTGAACAGATGATTCAAAAGGTGCAGCAGCAAGATATTATGATATGGCACCTACAAAGTAAACTGCATAGAGATGCATGGTTATTATTCGTGCTTCAGTACAAACTGCCATGTTTGTGTTGGACCATGGCGCCGTGTTTAGCACCACGACCCATGCCCTAATAGTTTCAGGGATGGGAAATGTCGCAGCTTTGGCCAAGAAACTATTTAGGACCAGGCTCTAAATGTTACAAATACTGATTAAGTTCCTAAGTTTGTAAAATGGTTCAGGAGCTTTCTATACCCAAAGCAGAGAGTGCCATAGAGTTAAGTCCAGGAGATATTTAGATTCTAGTTCCTAAAGTTGTTTCTGGAAAAGTTCCTGGTTCCTCCATTTCTACAAGAACTCTCTGGGGTTAGGACATGTGATGCTGACGATGATGAGCTTTATTCCTTCAGTTGACACCCAGGCAAAGTTCCAAAGTTCCTAAAAGGTTCATATTTTCTGGAAAACTGGTTTTCATTTTGCGAGGTACTTTCTTATCAGTTTGTCACTCAAACAACAGAACCACTTGTTATGTTCCCCTGTTTATGGCAGCATTTTCTTTAAGCAGATTCTAAAATGCTGAAAATCCTTCACAGGGTATACGCAGGAAGTCCTGAAGTCAGATGTAAGACCTTTTTTAAGACCCTTTCCATACATTTTAAGACCTCATCGCCACTTTGAGTTTTAACCGGTTACCTTGGCGACACACTTCACCTCACATTTACTATATACAGTATTGATTGTCCTTCCTCCTTATCTTCCAACCATTTGGACGCAGACTTGCATTTCCCCATAACGATGTTGTTTAACAACCGGCGTAAACGGACCTTCGCGCTATCAAGCAGTGAGCGTGCGATGTCCTGTTCAGATGACGTCAAATCCAACGGGATGCCATAAATAAACTACACAGAATCACACTACACACCTACGCAATGATTACATTCAGGCAGACTGTAGAACACAACCTCTTTGGACGATTGATATACTTATTGAAAACAAGCTACAAAGTGTAACACCTTGAAAAATGCCGTTTAATACTTTTTAATAGCCTTAATTTTCACTAAATTGATTTATCAACTTTTAATACTTTTTAAGACCCCGCGGACACCCTGCTTCATTTGAAATTCCAGCAAGTAAAACTAAATGTATAAATTGCTTGAATCTTTACGTCCCGAGCATCTTCTCTGGGGCGCTCAGGTTAGTATGAAACAGGAAGTGGGCGGAGCGCTCACCTTCATGTAGCCCATGCCGCCCATAACCTGAATACACTCGTCAGTCACATTCCATGCTGCTTCCTGTAATATACAAAATCACAAATGCATTTAGAAAACAAGTCTCAGAATAAGGAACATCAGAAGTATTTTGAGTTCCCCAGAGCACTAATACGTGTGAGAAGTAATGGGATTACAATACAAACCAAGTAGAAAAGAAACAGATATGTTTTAAAAGGCTTTGAGCCAAAGTGTAAGAATGAGTTATACTACAGTGTAGAAATACTCTGCTACAAGTCCTGCGTTCTAACAGTTTCTTAAGAGAAGTACAACCGTATTAGCATTAAAATATTGTTGAAGTATATCAAGTAAGATAACTTATTATGCAGAATGTATACAATTCACTGCATCAATTATGTATGCATTAATCACCTAAATATTCAGCGGTGAAGCTCATTTTAAATAATGGCAAACTTAAATGTTAGAATATATAAGTTATGGTTTAATGTTGTAATGAGTGGTAAGTAACTTAAGCTGTCAAATAAATATTGTGCTGAACTAAAAAGTAGAATGTTTCATTCAAAATGTGTTGTCGAAGAATAAAATGGATATATTTAAGTACAGATGCTTCAAAATTGCACGTTGCATGTTTAACTGTAGTGCGATGTAAAACCTTACAGAGGCAAAGATCTTGCTGATGGCAGCTTCGATCTGGAATTCAGTCGCTCCGCTGTCCATGTTGCCGCTGATCATGTAGGCCATACTCTGCAAAAACACACAGAAACATCACGTCAGGGTGCATTTATGACACTTGGTCCATGTTGAAGCACCAGTATACCATAATGAATATAAGTGGTGTAATGTGTTGACAATCTCGTTTAAAGACCTACTTGTTCTCCCGGTTTTTATTTTGTTGTGTTTTAAAATCTTTTTACATCATGTATGAGGGTTTTTCCAGTCTGTGACTATCAGTATGGTTTTATTGTCTCGTGCTTTTACATTAGTTTATTTTTGTCCTATCGGTTTTGTCTAAATGTATTTATGCTGCTTTTTTATATATGTATTGATGTACAGCACTTTGGTCAACTCTGTTGTTTTATGTGTTATATAAATAAAGTTGGATTGGACAATGTGTTCTCATAATCTTAAAGGGGACCTATCATGCAAAATGCACTTTTTGATGTCTTTTATATATAAACATGTGTCCCCGGTGTGTCGGGGAACTCACGCAGCGTCAGAAAACAAACCCTCTCTTTTCCTCCGTACCCAAATCTCTAAAAACGGGGGAACAACGGAGCTGATCCTGATTTGCGTCCGATATGATGTAATATCTGAAATGTGGACCACGGCCCTATCAGAAAGTTGCTATCAGAAACAATGCCCGACTGTTTTGGACGTAATATGGTCGGTGTTTCCATTAGCATCGCTAACACTCAGAGCTAACCTGTACTGGAGAGAGTGTGTGTGAAGAAGCAGGAAATAAAAAGGAACTCACCTTGTGGTATAACCGGCAAGAGAGAAAGCCTTTGAGCTCCAAACTGTTTCAGAGATAATCCTTGATAATCCATGATATGGCGTTTCATCACCGCAGTATTTAGTTTAGACAGTAGCTGCCGGGTCCCGCATGAGCTCAGACCCCTCCTTTTTTTTATCAATTCTTTTTTTTTTTTTTTAAAGCTTTATACACAAATCAGCACTTTTGAAACAGGAAGTGAAATAGAGGGATATGAGGCATGGCTAGAATGGGTGATCTGTTTGGTATTTTGAGCATGTTTTTTATATATCAGAGACCTATGCTATTGCCTAAAATAGCATGATAGGTGCACTTATAGATAGCAAAAACGTAAGTGTAGATTACGCTGGGGACGGTTAAACAGGAGACAACACTTGATGGTGTTGGATACCGTCGCTTTAAATACAATCAGCAACAGTAACCCTAGTGATTAAAGCGGTGATAAATGTGCATCAGACTGCGGTGCGGATACGGCTTCATGGACTGACCTCAGTGACGTACTGCAGCATGGTCATGCGGGCGATCTTCTCCTGGATGGCTCCGTAGTTGTGGATCTTGCTCCCAAACTGGGTTCTGTTGGCTGCATGATCCACCTGATCAAAGAGGAGAATGATCGTCACTATCACACACCATTCAAAGCTACAGGACGTGCTAGAATGCAGCAAAGTAACCTTTTTCAGGGAAAGCACTCACTGCATTTTGTAGGCAAACGTTTAACTTTTTACTCCACCACATATATTTTATAGCTTTTGTTACTAGCCAATTTGCAAATTCAGTCAACAGGAATGTAGTTAAATACAAATATCTGAGTATTTCTTCCACTTCTGGTTATTTTCTGTATATTATAACAGCGTCCTTATGCTTCTAGACTGGAGGAAACTCTACGCAGTTTGTTTTGCAGTGAAAATGTTGAAGTTTAGATCTTGTGCATGAACAGGAAGTCTGGTTAGGCAGTGGGCGAGCATGTGAGCGTCTCCCCTGTAGCACGATAGGGAAAAACCTGTCGCTTTGGTTGGAAACAAATAGCCACATGGTTCTGAAAATAAACTCTACACTTTATTTCTAAACAAGTGGAACCCCTATGTGTTTAATTATGTTTTGAGTTGCTGGTTTTGAGTTCATTGCAATCTCTGTTTGTATTGGAAATAACTGTAATTGTATTGAAAGGTGCATTGTAAATAAAGTTATTATTCTTTGTATCATTTCTTCAAGGCAGCAGAGTCTATCCCTGCTGCATCGTCCATTCAACTATTGCTTGTGAAACAGTATCAGCAGTATAGCGCAACATAACTATAAGTTGAATAGTAAAAGTAATAATAAAGTAACTAATAACTTCATTATTAGTTCATCATTACATTTAGCCGTTACAAAACACCTTTGGCTACATAGTCAGTCAGCAAAACTTTAGATGTTTGAAAAGAAGAACAGACGTGACCGAAGCACGTTTGATTCTTCGGCGCCTGTAACCTCAGCAGGAAGTGGCCCAGTTGACAGTGAGCCGTAGTGAACAACGAGAGGGGGGATTTCCCACAAACCCACAGTGCAAGAGACACACAATTGAAAGGGGGGGTGCAACCGAGTACAGACAGGTCACAAGCGACATAGCGGATGGGAAAAACAACAATGCATAACACCTAAATATAAGTAATATAGAAAGTACGTCATGGGGCTAATCCTTCAGAGAAACGTGCCTCCCTTCCTCTGCACTTATTAGACCCTCCAGAAAAACGCGATTCTGCGATCTCAGAATTTACCGCATAATCAGCAAAATGGCGCAGATTTTTTAAAAGGCCGCATATTTATCAAAAGGGCGCATAATGCCCGCATTTTTCCACACAAAGTAAAAAAAAAAAAAAATGAACTCGTCTTGACGTGAAGTGATGATGATGATGACGCGACGTCATCAGCTCGCGCATCACAGAAGGTAAACAACACCGTAGAGTGAACGTGTGGAGCTCACACGAGAGAGAAAACACCAAGATGAAAAAATCTAATCCATCTCATTTACCAACGAACATTTCTGCTAAAGACCGGGCAAAGCAGTTCCCCGATGTCTTGCATGAAAGTGGGGGGAAACTATTCTGCACCCCGTGCAACTGTGTTGGAGCATAAGAGAACATCGACGGTGACGACCCACTTTGATTTATTCAAACATTCGAAAATGCTTTCTGCTGCTGCGGACTAGAAAGCCAAACAACTCACGTTCACCGAGGCATCCACCTCCAAAACCCTTTCGAGGGCTACAAGAAACGAGGTGAGAAGCCTACAAGATTGAAGATGGTCAGATAACGAACAAGTAAATTAAAACAGAATGAGGCGGAGAAGTGTGTGTGTGTGTGTGTGTGTGTGTGTGTGTGTGTGTGTGTGTGTGTGTGTGTGTGTGAGAGAGAGAGAGAGTGATTAAAATAGCCCAATTGCTTTTACTATAAATAAACATGGAATGTGTTTAATTGAATAGTAAAGGGGTTTAACGTTAGTGGCAGGTTGTGTGTGAGAGAGAATAAATAAGACAGCCCAATATTTCCAAAAAAATATTTAGCATATTTCCGCAATTTCACCGCATAAAATCACATAAAAACCCTGCATGTTTAATCGCATAATCAAGGATTTTAGCCCGCATAATCATAACTTATGGCACCAAAGCTAGTGAACTCACAGCTTTGGTGATGACTCCCTTCATGGTGCCGGAGAGGGCGGCCGCCATGCCGAAGCGCCCGTTGTTCAGGATGTTCATGGCCACCTTGAAGCCTTCCCCCACCTCGCCCAGCAGGCAGTCGGCCGGCACGCGGACGTTATCGAAGTACACCTCGGCTGTGTTGGACGCCTTGATGCCCATTTTCTTCTCTGGTGGGCCACTGTGATGAGAAAAGTAGGGAAATTAAACTCTCAACCCTCAAATATCATTCACATATACTGTCAAAGTTGTGGGCCATGACTAAGAATCAATTCCCAGGTCTAAAAACGTTTTACTTTTGATATCTTATTTACTGTTTTATCTCAACAACCATGGTGACCCCCAGAAGTATTGCTGTGGTCCCCATCAGGGTCCTGACCCCCAGAAGTATTGCTGTGGTCCCCATCAGGGTCCTGACCCCCAGAAGTATTGCTGTGGTCCCCATCAGGGTCCTGACCCCCAGAAGTATTGCTGTGTTCCCCATCAGGGTCCTGACCCCCAGAAGTATTGCTGTGTTCCCCATCAGGGTCCTGACCCCCAGAAGTATTGCTGTGGTCCCCATCAGGGTCCTGACCCCCAGAAGTATTGCTGTGGTCCCCATCAGGGTCCTGACCCCCAGAAGTATTGCTGTGTTCCCCATCAGGGTCCTGACCCCCAGAAGTATTGCTGTGTTCCCCATCAGGGTCCTGACCCCCAGAAGTATTGCTGTGTTCCCCATCAGGGTCCTGACCCCCAGAAGTATTGATGTGGTCCCCATCAGGGTCCTGACCCCCAGAAGTATTGCTGTGTTCCCCAGAAGTATTGCTGTGTTCCCCAGAAGTATTGCTGTGTTCCCCAGAAGTATTGCTGTGGTCCCCATCAGGGTCCTGACCCCCAGAAGTATTGCTGTGGTCCCCATCAGGGTCCTGACCCCCAGAAGTATTGCTGTGGTCCCCATCAGGGTCCTGACCCCCAGGTAGAGAACAACAGTAAAGTAACGAAGACAATAATGTAAAGAAATGCTGTGCTCACTGTGTCACCCCTCCAAAGCTCCTCTCCACAACGAAGGCCGATATCTTGTCCTTCATCTCGCCGGTCTTCGGGTCCTTCACGGGGGTCTTGGCGAACACTGTGAAGATCTCAGCCAAACCTCCATTGCTGAAAGGAGAATAAAGGAAATCGGATTAGGAAAAGACTAGGACTGTCAAGTTAACGCGTTAATAACGTGTTAACGCAAAAAAAAATTAACGCCACTAATTATTTTAACGCGATTAACGCATGTGTATTTTTTTCCCTCGGCCGCCCCGTAGTTTCAGAGCGCATTGAGTTTAAAATACCATCTACAAGCTGATGCTGACAGCCCCCCGCTCCTGTCGCCCGCTTGTGGCAGACCACACTTCCACGCTCACCGACTGGCTGTTGGGAGGACCGGGAGGGTTTGTGTATGTGTGGCCCGAGCGAGCGAGAGAGAGACCTTACGTGCATTGTTGTTGTTAGCATCTGGTGCTAGCTAGCTGCGCTAACGGATAAGGAGCTGTTTAAATGAAAACAAAGGAGCGACATTTCGCCACAACTGCGCCGAGCACTTGACTTTATGCAGGAAGCCAGACAGTGGGACATTGTACGAAAAGTCAGCACACTCAGCACGGATAATGTGCACAACATGATTGCAGCGTCCAGGCAGCTCCCGTTCGAGCATATGCCTTGAGTTGCACATAGCGCACACACACACACACACACACACACACACACACACACACACACACACACACACACACACACACACACACACACACACACACACACACACACACACACACACACACACACACACACACACACACACACACACACACACACACACACAAGTTGTATTGTATTATTGTATGAGAGAGGTTCCAGGTTGAATTGAGGCGAATATTTGTAATGTTCAGAAGTTGTTGTGTTTAATATTCATGAGATTATTTGTCATTGTTCAAATGATAATAAACATTAGCATAAAGCATATTTGTCCACTCATATGTTGATAAGAGTATTAAAAACTTGAAAAATATTCCTCTAAGGTACATTTAGAACAGATAAAAAATGTGCGATTAATTTGCGATTAATCGCGATTAACTATTTTAATCGTCTGACAGCCCTAGAAAAGACACAAGCAACTAGGAGCTATCACATGTCAGTTCTGGATGAATAGCACAATGCTGCCTCCTTGTGGCGACAGAAAGAAATGCTGATAGAGCCGCTGAGTCCTCACCTGATCCAGATCTTGCTTCCAGTGACAGTGAAGAACTCTCCGCAGGGGGACTGGACCGCGGTGGTTTTGATGGAGGCGGCGTCAGAGCCGCTGGCCGGTTCAGTGAGGCAGAAGGCGGCCATGGTCTCACCTGGAGGACAAACACACAGGGGAAATGATTTAGATTGTATGTATTAAGTTATGGCTTACAAAATTGTTTTAAAGCTTTATTCATCACATTGACACTTTGTCAGTCCTGACCACTGTGCTGCTATTTTTCTTTTGTATCTTCAAAACTCTAACTCGTGCATCAGTCCTTTGTAAGATTGTTCCCAACTCCCAAGGGTTACAAGTTCAAAAGCCAAAACTATATTAAAATGTTTGAGATTATTACTCTTAACAAAATATTCTGCTACAAACTATATTCAAAATAATGTTCAAATAATGATTCTTGATGCACACAAACAGAGGCACTTTGAACTGCATTGATATCACCACAAAACTTACTTTTTTAAAGACATGCAGGAGTGCATTAAAGACCCGGTGTGTGTCCTTACCTGTGGCCAGTTTAGGCAGGTACTTGGCCTTCTGGGCTGGGTTCCCAAAAAGCAGAATTCCCTTGAAGCCGATGGACTGATGGGCCCCCAGAGTGATGCCGACCCCCAGGTCATGGCTGCCAACGATCTGAACCAGCCTGCCATACTGTAGGATGAGGTCAACACCAGAGTTCCCGTTAGCCGGTAATTACCGGACTATGACCGGTAAAATATTCTGAAGACCAGCAAATCTAAATCTCTCCGGTCAAAGTGTCCGGTCAAAATAATTTCCCCTTAGCATAATACTGCATCAGTTGCGCAACTTGCGCCATTTATGTACAGACAAGAATAGTCAATTCTAATGTCTAATGTCCTGTATGGGTTGATTGTGCGTTGATCTGTTGGTAATGCCTCTGGGTTCCGGTGGGCATGTAAACAAATGCATAATGCTGCGCTATACTTTGCGGCCTCACCCGGTTGCATAGCGACGCTTATTGTTTAGGTGTCTTTTAATAAGCAGGTAGTCCTATCATTAGCTAGAACTAGCTGGATCTGATCGATATGGACATAAACGCGAGTCTAATCTGACGGGAGAGAGAGATCAGCTGCTGCTGACGAGTCGACACGCAGCTCTGCATGATCACATGCAGCGGTGAGCGAACAAAACACACACTTCAGGTTAGAATATCACACGTAGCTATTTTAATGACCTCTCAAACTACCTAAACTAGTTATAGATGTGTTTAGTTTTACTGTCGGGTCACTCATTACTGATCCGCGAGCTGCATGATACTGACGGGCTGTCAGGAGAGGGAGAGAGCGCTCCGTTTATTATTCCCGTGTTATTATAAATTACTGAACACTTTTGAATAGTTAATCTACTATAATTAGTTTGTTTAATATCGAATCATATCAATTTGTTTTAAAGTTCAATAAATAACAAAGAAGACCTTTGACCGGCACTTTTCTAATTGTGTCCGGAAGATTTAAACTTTAACGGACATGTTGACCGGCGAAAAAATATTCTAACGGAAACTCTGGTCAACACATTACATTCGCCTGTTTACAATTTACATAATTAACCTCATTACAATGTTTAATGGTGTGTTTGTGCTATAGAGTAGATATTCATAGATGTAATCAGGCAGACGTACCTGTGTGTTTGTGAGGCCGAGGCCCCCCAGGTCAGCGGGCACCTGCAGGCCAAAGGCCCCCATCTCCTTCAGGCCCTCCATGGTGGCATCCTCCACCTTCTCCAGGGCATCGTTCATGGCAGGATCATTCACCTCCTGCACACAGGAAGTAGGAACATGGAGGGTTAGGGACGAGTATGAGGGAAGTAGAGAGGATGTGAGCGTAAGGTCGAGGACATAGATCTCAAAAAGGTGGAAGTACCTGGAAAAACTTGCTGACAGGCCCCACAAGCTCTCTGAGAAACTGCTCCTGCTCCTCGTTCATGACTACGACAAACACAACATGTTATTTCAAAACTACAACTTTACTACATAGGTTTGGAATTAAAGATCATCTCCAGTGATTTACCTGAAGGGTAGGGGAACACTTGGGCAGTTGCGATCTGCCCTTTGAAAATGTTGACAGCGAATGATTTGGATTCCTGTGGAAGTCAAAAGAAGAAAAGCAAGTCCAATTAAAAGAAACAAAAAAGGGAATATAAACATGACCTTAAATATATTATGTTTATAATAATAGTAATAGAGAATAGACATACAGCAACAGCCGTCTTCTTTTCCACTTTAGTGACAGCATCAGTGCCGATCGCTGCCTGCTTGTCCAGCACCGCCTGAAGAGGAAACAGATGTTGAAGGGAACAGAGCATGAGCTTTCGAACGGATCAAGTCAGTACAAAAGTGAGGCTTAAATCTCATCTGGTGCAAATAAAAGCATATTCCTTCAAATGAGAACATGGTTGGACGAAATCTCTCTTTTAAAAATGTCATGGTAAAACAGGGCTGGATGATATGGAGAAAACTAAATATAACATTTCTTATCAAATACCTTGATATTGCGTAGGGTTTGATCAATAATCATTAGTAATGTAGACATAATGACTAAGTGTTTAAAAGCAAGTTAAAAGCTGGAAAGACATACATGCAACATCACATTGTCGAAAATCTAAGACGATAACTAGTCTCTTATCACAATATCAATATAATATTGATATAATGCAAAGCCTTCCATATCCAAATGCCAGTGTTATCAGCCAAAGTAAACACAAATGAAGGTCTAATTCCAGCCAGGGCAGCCACTCAGCTAGAGGAAGCTCGAACTGGGTGAAAGGTGATGCCAAGGGCACATCCAGTCAGCTGAGTCAATAACAGCACGATTAGAGAAACATTATACACAGGGCAGTGGTATTGTTTAGGGTTTTATTATGCAGATAATAAACTGGTACCTCAGTGTCATTTAAATTCTCTGTGATAACCTCCACTGTGTTTTTGAACAACTGAATTAATGACATCCTTCTTTTCATTCCAACAATCAGATCCAAAGCTCATATCAATTGGTTTTTGGTTAAAAGAAATGTACTTAGTGAGACACCTAGAAATTTGATTTGGCTTGTCAAATAAACATCTTTTGATCATTATTTTTGCCAGAACAATTTAACAATAATACTTATTAAGGAAGGCAGGTGTGCTGCAAATTCAGCTATAATGCATTGGAAATTATGTTATTATATATCATAACTCATTTATCAGGCTTAAAGCATCTGTTTGCATAACTAAATGAGCTGCATGTGTATTTAAACTACTGTATATTGTAAATTGTAATACTGGTACCTAATCAACTTCAACTGCTATATATTGAGATTCAAAAATGACAATATATATATATATATATATATATATATATATATATATATATATATAGCATAACACGATTAAAGTCGTCCCTGTTACTGTCCTAGACAGCAGCAGTGTCACCCACTTCCATGGTGTCACCTTTATGACTGAGTCACGTGACCAGTGAACTTTCCCCTACATCCGGCGGGAGGGGATGCCAATGTTATGTCAGCCTGCCCCTGCCCCTGCCCCGGGCCATATATGGACCATAAAGAGACTCCTAATTATGGTAAACAAGCTGAATAAAATCGGATTCTCTATTATAATGTAGGGTAATTTAACTGTAACGTTACCTCTGCAGCTTGGCTGGCGTAGAGACGAGCATGTTGCACTGAAACCACAGCCCCGGCCTGACGCTGCCCTCTGTAGTCCAGACAAGAAAATATAGGTGACTTTTGAATCAGAGTGGGTCATCTTCATGGTCATTTTAACAGGAGACGATATGTTTAATAACAGCTGTACACCTTAACGTTACTTACCCTGACAGCACGGGAGGAATCCTGAGAATGGAGCCACATAGTTTCGAAGACTGGCTCACTTTACGAAGCAGCATGATTTAATTTTGTTCTAAAAAAATAGGGAAAAACACGTTGTAACAGCTTAATATCACGTTGTTCTTACACAGACAGAAACCAAGGAGCTAACAGATAGTCGCAAAGGCGGGTGGCTACGTAACGACGTCAGTTTGTTTTGTAACCTGTCCAGTTTTTACTAAATAAAAACAGGAACACCCAGTTAAAGTACATGTATTCCTTCGAAAGGAATATAACTTAAACATTAATGTACACACCTGTAGAAGTTATATTATGACACGTCCGCTGCGTCCGTCAGGTAGCCGTTTAATGCCTAATGACTAACTCGGAACCTGTTTTCTTCTTCTTCTTCTTCGAAGCACGGTTCCCCGGATGTACAGTGATTCATGGGATGTGTAGTTTTACAGGACATATATGTAGTTTTACAGGATCGGCTGTTCCGAGACTGAAATATGAAATGCATAAATTGGAAAGAAACAGTAGAATCAGTGGCGTCGCCTGGCCTAAAGCCCCAAATGTTTTTTCTGTAGCCCCGGACAATTCTGCCTCAATAATATAATCAGGGGTGCACATAACTGGTACGCAGGTACGCATGCGTTGCAACAAACTGAATTGCATAACTTCACTACGCCCCTTTGCGTACCTCAAAACAAAACATATTTTGTCTACACGTGTTTCTTGTCAACACTCAATGGAGTAAACTACTAGACATGTCAACAAAAACCAAAGACATTAAGCAGCTACGTTGCCGTTTCGCTGCCTGCAAAAAAATCTTCGGACTTTCTGTGACTGAACTGGGTGCTGGCCGAGCCGCGCAGGACATAACCGACGGACCTGTGAAGCTTTACAGGAGGCAGATCACTGGAAGACAGAGTTGTTCACCGTGTGCACAGACAGGGTTAACGTCGGTATGAATGAACAACAGAATTGTGCCAAAACTCCGCCAACTCGCTGCAGCTGGAGACTCCCCTGTGCACATTCTGTGCCCCGCGCACACACTGGAGAACTGCGCAAAATCAGCTGATCACCATGTGCAAACTTACTCAGGGTGTTAATGGAAGAGTTTGAAATCAGACAGAGGTGGAAGAAGTACTCAGATCTTGTGTAGGAATACTCTGTTACAGTAAAAGTCCAGCAATCAAAATTAGAAAAGTATTATCAAAATATAGTTAAAGTACCAAAGTAAAAGTATTCATTATGCAGATTGGTCCATTTCAGAATAATATATATGATATGTTTTATAATGATTGATCATTAAAGTGTTCTCAAAGCTGGTAAAGGTGCAGCTAGTTTGAATGACTTTGTATACTGCCAGGGCTAAGCCCCTAATGTTTCCAGGTCCAGGAAACGCCCCTGAGTAGAATCATAAACAAATGTATTCTATACAAGCAACTCAATATAGTTATTTTAGAAAATAGGAAAGGGGTCTATAATACATCCTGCCATGTCTTTATATAATCTTCAGGTTTTCAGGAGTATTATCGTTTTCATTTCAAGAACTGAAACTTGGACACACCAAAAAATAATCTCAATTGTGCCAAATAGCCCCCACATAAATACTGAACTAAAAGTGTTGCTTAAGGTTTTAAAAGATAGTTTAATGCTGTAGCTGTTTACAGTCTGACCCAGCAAAGAGGCAATATCATATTTATACCAATTAAGACAGAAATAACCGTTTCACAAATACCTAGAAAGGCAAACAAACACTGAAAGCAAACCAAAAGTTGTTGCTCAAGTCTACTTATTTACACAACTTGTGAGAACATTCCCATGCAGCTCACAAACGCTTGAATACTCTCCTGAAATAAAGAAGTCTGAACAGTATGTAAGTATCAAATTTATTCTCAAGTACACAAACAAAGGTGGCGATATGAAATCAAACAATGTGACACTGTCCATGTCATTCTTTTTTTGAAATGTTGAATCTTCATTTAGCACCTTAATAGTTCGGTTATACATGATTTATATAGTCACTCATACAAAAATGAAACGGGTGAATAATGCAAGTCAGTAACATAATAAAAATAAGCATGGGGCATTTGGATCAGTTACTTAAGATATGTTATCAAAAAGTACCGCTTTCAGCATCTTGTCTTTTCACCTATTAGTACCGTTAAGCCGCTACAGTCCCATAACGAAAAACTCCTCACGATAAGAGTCATTTGACGACTAGGCCTAGACAGTGACTACTAAACACAAGTTCAACTGACATTTTTGGACCTTATTTTTTCACATTAGAGCTTTTGTAGTGTTGCATTTACATAGGAGTAGTAGGTATATACAGAAAAGTTCATTGTCAAACAATGCTGAAACATGATGAGTTGGTTTCATGTACCTGGAGTGTGAAAATATGTCAGAAAATGCAAAGAGTAAGGCACTCAATATACTCCTGTGCTGCCAACCTGTCTACAGGATTGTATCCTTTCAAGTACACAGTGTTCCTGGCACCCTCTAGTGTTGAACTGCGGTCTGTGCGCTTCTTGGCTTGGACATTCGTAGTTGATTTGGGAACCTTTCCCCCCCGCCTATAATATATTTTTTCCATTTTGAGGATTGCAGAAAAGAAAAGAGTGTTGAGCAGCTCTGATTGACAATCAAAATGTGTCCTGAGGTCTACTGATATAAGAAAGCAGAACTGGTCATTGTGGATTGAGCTTTGAGAAAATAACTGTTGTGTAGTGTATTTAAAAAAAGAAAATACCGTATACCACATTTACTGCGTTTTCATTTTGTCTTATTTTCTTTGTCAAAGTTAAACCCTGTTCTCACCAAATTTGTAACAAGTGCCCTCACTCCAATAGGCCCTTGAGAGCTCATAAAGCTACCGCCAGATCCTCGTCAAAACAAGTGGGAACCGTACGCTAACTTCACGTGAATGGTCACTCAACACGAGACAGAAAAAATGAAATCTACATGACGTCCACAAAGAACTCGCTGGGGTTTCCCATGGCCAGGTGGAAGGACTGGCGTGATGCAGTCAGCTCTGGGGGCACGGCGCCCAGGTCACGGGTGGGGGGGGCACCCGGAGGCCCCCCAGGGGTGGAGGAGGGCATCTGGGCTAGAGCCGGGTGCATTTGGGCCGCGGACATCTGCTGCGGGTGAGAAAGAGCGTGAGCGGTCATGGCGGGGTGTGCGTGCTGGGGCACCATCATCACCATCATGGGGTTGTACGGCAGGATGCCCGGCGGGTAGGGGGACATGTGGGGGGGCTGGGGCATGCGGTGGTGGTGCGAGCGCTGGGAGGAGGCGTGGCTGTGCTCGCTGGGGGCTGCCGAGCCGTGGCCGCGCCTTAGGCTGCTGCGGGTGGAGTATTCTGATTCGCTGCCGCTGCCGGAGCGAGAGTCTCCGCCTTCTCCGACCCCGCCAGAGGGGGATTTCTCCCCCCCTCCGACGGTGCTGCCCGGTCCTTTAGTGCTGCGGCGACCTCCCCCCTCGCTCCTCGTCGATCCACTGCTTCGGCTCCCTGGGGGCAGAAAGGAAATGTCATGGTGATAAGATGTAAACAGGTTTGAGAAGCTAAGCTAGCTTTAATTTCCACAACTAGTATCCCAGTGAGTCAAACTGCCACCGTATTACCACCGTTTAAATATTACACCTTGTGAGATACACTTTTGAGCAAGAAAACTTGTAACAACAGTTTCTGCTCAAAAACCATTCAGTAAGAAATATTTAATAGTACAATTTCTTTCATACAAGAAATGGCATAAACTGTAAGCAGCAACTATAGCAGAGTAAAATAAAAACTCATGGTATTCTTTGCACAGCAGTGATTTGTAATGAGTGAGTGGAACCGGTATAATGTCCCTGCTTCTGACCGCTGTGTGTCTCACCTTCGCTGTGCTGGCTGCCGGTGGAGCCCGGGGCGTAGCTGTAGCTGGTGAGCTCGTGGTAGGGAGGGGGCTGGCTGGAGAAGGCATGTGTGGGGTAGGGCTGGTAGGGGAAGGTGTGCATCATGGGCCATGGGGAGGCCCCAGGGAGAGGCAGGGGGGCCAGGGTGTCCTGGTCTGACGCCCCACTGGAGCCGTCATTGTCATTCAGCGACAGGTTGGCCATGTCTGGGCGGGGAACAGAGAGAGGAGATAAATGAGGATACAAAGTGTTCCTTAAAGATCTACAGTAGATACTCACTAAACACAATTACCCTAATCCCTGCATTATGTCTTCAAATCTTTTAATTAATATATTTAAAGTCAGCCGGCGTGGCACCCATGAAAATGATGGAAGAGAGACATGTTTTTACAACTGAACCCGCTGCAGTTTGTTGCTTTTCCTCTCTTGTTGTTGTGCTTCCTGCAGAGTCTAACTTTAGGGATGGCAGCACATTAAAGAAATCCTTCCATAACGGAAATGTCACATGATTTACTCACACAAGCAGCAGAGTGTTCACAAGAGGAATGTGTGCAAATGTAATTAAGCGTTAACTTTGTTTTTTCGGGGGAACTCACAGTTCTCGCAGTCGCTTAGATCTCCAAAGACGTAGTAGCACTGTTCGGAGAAGGTGATCTTGTTGACGGTGTGCCGGATGAAGCCGGCCTTCAGCAGGTTGCTGGCGTACTTCCGGGCTTCGCGGCGGTCCTGGAATCCCTCGATGTGGTGGAAGAGCCACTCCACTACGTCTGAGCCTGGTGGAGGAGGAAGCATGAAACATTTTTATTATTCAAAGTATTCTTAAATAAATAAAGGTATACTAAGCTGGAATAAAAGGTGCAAAATAACAACTGCTATGTTGTAAATTAAAGAAGCCCTATTATTCTTTTCCCTTTCCTGTAGTGTTATATAGGTTTTAGTGCATGTGGCAAGTTTCTCCCCCACACACTGCCCTCTGCACGAAATGCCTTGATTGTAGTCCTTTGTTTACTTCCACATAATAGTAATATTACTATGCAACACTCACACTTCTATTGTCTAGCCCTCCTACACATTGTACATGCTAGGCTAAGGGGCGGGACATCTCTAAGCAGGGGACCAATCATAACAGAGCCTCCAGCTATGAGCATAATAGGTCCCATTTAATTATGTCATTACATGTATGAGAAAAAGTTTTAAAAAAAACTACTAAATCAATAATTGTCATTAAACAACTCAATCAGACATTATCAAAAAATAAAGGGGAAAAACTTTGTTTCCTGTAGAGAAGCACTCGAAACTAAAAAATATAAGATAAACTGTAAATGCAGCAGAAATGATAAGAAAATTAAATGTTCTTTTCAGAAAGCAGATAATGGACGTAGTTTATGTAATCGCTTCCTGTGATTCAGTTGCAGGTGATTCCAATTTAGCAGATGTTTGTAGGAAGTCACACGGTTTTAATTCTGAGACCATAATGCCGGCCCTGTAAAGTCCTCTGCGGCATGGAGAGTTCATGCAACCAATGTGCTCCCTTGTCTGTTCTTAGGGCTGCTCGATTATG